ACTTTATTTTTACATTCAGAATGCTTTAAAAATTCCATTTACAAGACAATTGTTTATAATAAAATTCTATTTAATCGGTAGACTCATAACGATTGAAAACAATGTTTTTGTTTGAGTTTGGGTTTGACCAATTCGTTAAAAAAAGACAAAAAAAAAAAAAAAACTAATTAAGACATGCGTGTCCGTCAACCTTAAACAATAATCTTTGTCAATTTTATTTTTCAGTCTTTATGATGGTCAATACTTGATCTATCTCTTACCGTTACATCCCCGGGCAACGCCGGGCTCTACTGCTAGTCAGCCTATATTTATGGCTGACACCAGCCAATCATATTACTGTGAGGGGGAACTCAGGTGTATGCATATTCATTACATCAGTTAAGTATTAAAATACTGACCCGATAAAAATCCTTAATCTTCAGGGTTTGATTTGATGTTGCTCAGAATAACACACACTTAAGTCTTTCAGCAATAAATAAAAATTATAAATGAATTTATCTTTCTATGTCATAAGGAGAAAAGCAAAAGGCAATCGTATTTTGGTGTAAGACGGTTAGAAGTGAAAAAATATGAAGTGAAAGGTTTTATGCAAAACTGACTTCAAATTTTGTTTCAATTTTAATGCGTATCTTATTAAATAAATTTTACAAAGAAACACAAATGAGACATCAGAACGCAACTGTACCGATTCACCCACATAGATGATGATGGAAAATGACTTTATCTCATTCTTAAATGTTTTGCCTTTTCAGGGCCAGCAGTAAAGTCTACAAGATAGGGTTTTCAAAGCAGCAACCCACTTGACCAAAAGTGAATAAAATAATAAATGATGGGCGAAAACTTTCGGGATCAAGTGCTACTTGATTGGACGTTAGAGATTTCCACTTGCAGTCACAATTAAAATCGTGGGTAGTTTTAGGCCACTCTGCAGGTTTACGTTGTCTGCAGAGAGAGAGAGAGAGAGAGAGAGAGAGAGAGAGAGAGAGAGGAGGGGAGGGAGGGAGAGAGAGAGAGAGAGAATGTGTGTGCGTGTTGTGTTGCCGGTCATATGTAGGAATATAAAGATGGGCATAGGGGTGGTAGGCGAAAAGTCAGAGTTTTCCATGGTTGAAGGAAAAAGATAACCTGTACTCTGACGTGGCAAAAGTTATCGTAAGTATCACTTACCTACCCCGTAACTAAAAAATATAAATAATTATAGTTTGAGAACATGTCTTCTTGAATGCATAAAAATATTACACATCAGCATTACATGACTTGCGTTCAATCCATTTTTCACAATAGATAACAGCACACTAAAAAATAATGATACAATACCAAGCCTAATTTTTTCGCTTAAATCCACTTGTAGCGGAACGTGGGTTTACGTGTTGTTAAATTAGGAACACGTGTGTAACTCCTGATAGAATATTAAAAGGTTCACTACAAGAATATGGAGGACTCAAGTTGAGTCCAACCGAAGATGTAAAGAAAACAAACAAGACCGATATATAGATACAAACAAGTATATGTATTAAACAACAAGATTTACAATGGACAAATACATTAACATTTATGCTTGTGCGTGAACGTAAAGAGTTTATATTTTGATGAATGTTTGTATGTACGTGTATGTGTGTGTGTATGTTTGATGGCGTTTTTCCCACAAGTGGGAAGTGCAAGAAAAGAAACTATTACAAGTGGGCAAAACGCAGATCTCTACGAAAGATCACATTTTTAAATGTGTCCGCTGAAATGCAAAGAGAACGAGGCAAGAAATCGCCCAGTATTTATAGTGTAGGGAGAGCGCCCCCTAGTGAACAATTAGGAAATTAAGGAGGAGTTAACTCCGACACACTGATGATGACTCATGTAAGTCGAAGATTGTTGGGTTGCTATTTTATAACGGCTCCCTGCCTCAAGAAACTCCCACACAAGAATAAATACGAGGTACTAAAAGGGGAAATGAAAACAAGGGAACCAAAATATTTTTACCATTTTTATTAAATGCAATAAGGCAAAACAACAATATAACATGACATAAACATGGTACTTGCAGTCAAAGAAGTTTGCACTCTACAAGATTACGACCTTTGAGTTAAGGTGTTGGTCATTTACCATCTATGAATATCTTTGTTCCCCCGTGGTGTGAGTCTGGACATTGGTCGCGTCACATATTGCTCTAACCACTTCTCAGAACCGAGTAATTTGTAGCACATTCTTTATCATCTCTCAGTTGCGTCTCTGCCTTTGGGCAGAGTGCACTCAGGAGCGGCTCCGTCAAAGGACAGCGTTGCAACTGAGGAAAATTATACTGTGAGATGCTGCGCCCTCTCATTCCACCAGAGAGAGGGATCGATGCTCGCACCGAAGCTATCGCATCAGACAGTTGCGGGGTTTCAGCATTTTTTGTTCCTAGCCCGGGTGTACGCGCTCGGGCTCCCCACATTAATCTGACCATATGGTGGGGGGGTGAGTAAATAGAAACCTTTTCTCGGGACCGGACTGAATCCAACTGCAGCAAGGGTCATTAATTCATCTCGATTGTCCCAACTGTGCAAAGGACATTAACTCACTTCAGTTATCTGCTTGCTATCTAAAAACCCTACAAGATCATTAATATAATAGACACAAAATGTCTATTGTTTTAAACAATACTTGTTTAAAAGAGCAATTGATACGGAAATATACTGAATTTAAACTAAAAAGATTTTTTTGTCCAGTCCAAGATAATCTTTCTCTTTTAACCAAATATTTGGAGATCTAAAATTACCCCTCTTCATTCCCCTTCATAACTTGAAATTTAAATTCAGTAATTAATCAGTAATTAGTTTCAATGAATTTTGATATCTCACTCTTGTATGTACATGATCATAGCTCTCTACAGCTTTATTTTTTTAAACAAATCTAGCTCTTTTTAATGAATTGCTAAGGGAAAGATAATGGATAAGTTTCCTGTTGCTTTCACTACAATTTTGAATTCAGGGTATGCATTCTTCAAGACTCATCTGTCTTATTTATTTAACCCATAACTAGGGGTAAGAGAAAAATTTATGCCTTCTCCAAGAGCATTAGTTCAAGGGTAAATGCTTGGCAAGAATTCGAACTCAGCTCACATAATCCATTTTTCACACCAACAATTATTACACTAGGTGCAGGAATTTTAAGAAAATAATGACAAAGAATACTTTCTCCGTCTGCAAAAGAATGCAAAACTCGTATAACTGAAGAATTTCAGTAACTGTGCGTTTTTATAAGGCAGTGCATCCCCACAAGTGCCCCAGGCTACTGGGGAGTTGTGTGTTTTTCCCCATTTCTAGAACACAGTCTATCTTGATATTTAATCTATAGTTAGGGGGAGAAGAGTTAGAGTCATGCATTTCACGCAGCCAGCAGATATCCATCATTTCTTTCTATTTCTTTTAATCATTTCACCCCAAGCAAGGCAATAATGCCACTAAGATGCAAATGGTTACTAGCAAAGGAAGAGAATGAGAAGACATCAGTGAGGAGAAAGGACAATAAAAGAAGAGGTTTCAGGAAGACAGAAGATGGAAAGTGATGCCGCCTTTAAATTTTTGATGATTGTAGGTGGCAGAGATGCAGAAATCGGAAGAGAGTTCCACAGGTGCGAAGTGCAAGAAAAGAAACTATTACAGTGGATCATATGGTTACATTTAACTAATTTAACAGTAAAATGAAGAGACCTAATTGCCAATCTAGTAGTACGTTTAAATACATGCGGTCAAAGTACCATGACGAAAACTCAAGAGAACAATTACCATGAAAATATTTATAGAAAAAACAGAGAGAAGCCATATCATGGTAGTAGGAAAAGTGACTGAAGTTGTGATGCTAGATCAGGACCGATAACATTGCACTGACTAAAACAATTATGAATATAACTTGAGTATTACAGTTTACAGCCATAAAAGAGATGGCTGGAGGAAGAAATTCTGTGTTTAAATTTAAAATTAATTTCTGTCTATATTTCTGAGATGATGTTTTGTAACTATTTACAAGGACACTTGGCCTAGTGGATAAAAGTATTAGGTAAAGTAATTCAAAAAGTGATTTCACTGAAAGAGTGAATTCAATACCTAACCACAGAATAGGGAACAAAATCTTGGAGAGTTGAGTTACTAAAGAAAATTAACTGATACTGAGATATCAAAAAAAAAAAAAAAAGGCGTGGAAGTAAAATAATCTAAATAAAAGGTTTGATTCAAATTTTCAAGATACAGTGTAACCCGGATATAAGAGAGTTGTCGGGACCGGAGAAGAAGTCTCTTATATCCGGGTTTCTCTTATATCCGGGTTTGGTCTATTTTAACACAGGCTCTAATTTGAGATCAGAGAAAATCTCTCTTATATCCGGGTTACACTGTATATCATCTGAAGAAGGCCGGAGTGTACAACAGCCGAAATGTTGTGAATATGGCAATAATGAGGACAACAGTGCGAATGGTGTAAATAGTTAAAATTACGTTTTGTCCTTCAATAGAAATTAATGTTTAGTTTATGCCAACTGTTTAGCATTTTTTTTGTTTTTGTTTTTAGAGCCAGGTTGAAATAATAGTCTCATTCTGTAGATTGAAACAGCTGCCATCATTTTCTGGGGTGTGTAACCTCGTTTTGTGAAACGATTTTTAAGTTTTTGTTTGCCAGTCTATTTTAGGGGACATTTAATTCATTTTTTTATAACTCATTTAATGATGTTCTTTCTTGTCATACATATAAGTTCTATTATTAGCTTTTAGAATGTTTAGTGTTAAAAAAAATCACTTTACCAGAAATCGCTTTGTCATTTAATGTAAGGGAGATAACTCTGATGAATCAGTCACTCTTATTATTCGGAGGTGTGAACCAAGCTATATAAACTTGCTTCGTGAACACGCAGTGACCACACTGTTAAGAAAAACAGTGATAATGCCAGTTTATATGTCGTGGCAACTGAAAATCTTGTAGTTTTTGTTTTCGCCTTCAGACTAAAATACAAACTAAACTGCCCTTGCTATAACATGATACCCGGCTACAATTCAATCACGCAAGCATTTTTGGGAACTTTATTCACATGGGCACTTACTGCTGTTGGTTCAGGACTTGTGTTTGTATTTCGAAGTGGACAGGTAACAAATATAAATATTTATTTACAAGGAAGTACTGAAAAGTTTTCGGCCCGACCAAGAAGCTCACCTCTACAAAATTCTGATGTTTGGTTATTTGGCCAGATTTTGGGGAGTGGGTCGGGCCAAGGATTTTTCAGCACCCCCTTGTACTGTATCGATCAATAACTAATTTTGTATAATTTTATTCTGTGTTTCTTCACTTTGTTTGGTGTCATTCATTATTAAAGTTTTTAAAAAATGGGTGATATTTTTCCCGGAAATGAGTAAAAACTTGTTAAAATATATTCGTTAATTTTTTTTATTACTATTAATTTTTCTTTTTGTCGCTGAAACTCCTTTAAATTCTTATTTTAAAATATATTACTCTTTTTCATTAAAGTTATATAATTAATAATAGCTAAAAAACAAGTTTTGTTTTTGTTACGACAATTCCAAGGGAGGCAACTCAGCTTTCTTTTTTTATTAAAGGAATTCAATTTAGTTCGTTAGTGAAAGAGAATAAAAAAAAAATGATGTATAAAATGTTGTCCTAAAAATGTCCTCATCATTGACTAGTTCACACCTATTAGGATATTATATAGGCATATATCAAAGGTGACTATCAGGTCCTTGTAGTAGTGATTTATTTTTTTCTCCTTTTAATTATTGACACGTGTTTGCTGTTTATTTTTTTTTAACAACCACCTGTTATAAAATAGTGGAGTTCCAAAAAATATCTTAGTAATGATATGGGCACGCAATATATATACACTTATTGTGACTTCTTGTCGCTGTACACAACACGCCAGTCCGCCGGGTGCATAGACCGAAAAAAAGCAAAAGAAGAAAAAACAAAACAAAAAAAAACAAACACTGTTGATTAAATGAAGGAAAAAAAAAAAACTAATAACGTTTAAAATACGCCGCGACAGCGTTCATTTTACTCAAGGCCCAAGAATGAAAGCTGTCTCTCAAGTGTTTTTTTTTGTCTTAGGACTAACATTGTCGTTCAGTCCTGAGAGTAACAGTCCAGTTCAAACTCCGTGTTCTTTTTTAATGAACAGAGAGGTTTCGTTTATCCCTTACTAGCAGTAGAGCCCGGCGTTGCCCGGGGATGTAACAGTAAGAGATAGTTCAAGTATCGACCATCATAAAGACTGAAAAATAAAATTGACAAAGATTATTGTTTAAGGTTTACGGACACGTATGTCTTAATTATTATATTTTTTTTTTTTGTTTTTTTTTTACGAATTGGTCAAACCCAAACTTAAGCAAAAACATTGTTTTCAATCGTAATAGAATTTTATTATAAACAGTTGTCTTGTAAATGGAATTTTTAAAGCATTCTGAATGTAAAAATAAAGAAAAAAGTGTGCAAGACAATAAGAAATACTACCTGCCAAAAAAAAAGTGAAGTTTTGTTGAAATCGGTTGAAAAATGTAGGAAATCCGATCCCATATATAAACGAACACACACACACACACACACACAAACAACCTGGGTTTTATAATAAGTATAACTCTATGAGTTGTCTCCCTTTCATTCTTGTGATGCCTCTTAATCATGTTTTCAAATTGATTTCGTGCAAAAACAATTGTGTTTTTCCAATTTTGGGCGCTGTCAGAACCACCCCAAGGTAATTTTACGTAGTCCTGTGAAGTTTTGTTGAAATTGGTTGAAAAATGTAGGAAATCTGATCCAATATATAAACGTACAGACACACACAACCTGGGTTTTATAATAAGTATGATTTCTTGTTTAGGATTAGTTTTCCCCTTCCTTCTAAAGGTCTCCTCCATATTCACTCTCAGTAGTAACCCCCTTGCGTCTTTGTGGTATTATTGCCTTGCTTGGGGTGAATTAAAAAAAAAAAGAAAAAGTTTAAACAAGTGGTACTCTGGATGCGTTCAGTCTTTCATTATGATTTCTGCTCTACTGTGACAACAATAATTAGAAATGTTCTGAAGCAGGACAGCGAGCAACTGATTGTTTTCTGGACAACATCTATAATCCTTTGGAGGGCTCTCTTGTCTGCTGCTGAGCAGCTAGCATAACAAACGGTACACATCGCATGTCGGCACTCTCTCAGTAGAGCAGTGGTAGGGCATCAGCAGCTATCACTGTAGATAATTTTATTGAACAAGCGAAAATGTAAACCTACATTACTGATATTGGAAGGTGGGGCGTCAGGGAGGGATTTTATAATTTAAAGTTTTGTACTTGTCCTTTTTAAGACTTTTATTAGTAAGCATTTATAAGATCAAATAAAACAAACCCCTACAAAAATACCTAGATAAATTACATGGTGATCGTTATAATGAAAATTAAATAAAATTGGCATCTTCACTAAAGATTTTTCTTTTTTGCTTCTTTTCATTTCCCCCCAACAAGCAAGGCAATAATGCCACTAGGATGCAAGGGGTTACTGGGAGTAAAAGCAGATGAGAAGACTTTAGGGAGGAGAAAGGCCAATAAAAGAACAGGATTCAGGAAGACAGAAGATGGCAATTAGCATTGCATTTAAATTTTGGAAGATGGTAGGTAACAAAGAAGCAAGAAATTGGAAGGGGGTTTCACAGGCGAGAAGTGCGAGAAAAGAATCTATTCCCATAAAAGTATTTATAGAAAAGACACAGGTAAGATATGTTATGGTGCTGAGAAAGTGACTGAAGTAGAGATGCCAGATTAGGACCAATAACATTCTTCTTTGTATTTTACCAAGAATCTCTAAATACATAGCAGGAGTACCAGACTAAATGTAGTAGCAATATTCAAAGCATGGACAAATGGTAGACTTATAAATATGTAAGATAGATTCTGGCTAGATAAATTGTCTAGCATGACACAGTGAAATAACTTTCCTCGCAGCAGACTTAGCAATTGATTCAATATAACCTTTCCACTTCATGTTAGTGGAAAACATTAGCCCGAAAAGGTGCAAGGAGTCACTTTCCTGGAGGTTTGCATCAGCCATATTGATGGAAAGCAAAAAGGGTTCTCAGACTATTAAAAGAGAGCAGTTTCATTTTGGAGGCATTAAAATTAACTAGACATTCCTTGCCCTAGTTAACAACAGATTGTAGGTCATTTTTTAGATCAGCTGCCAATTTGATCTTATCAAACCGATCAGACTTACTCTTAATAGAGTTGTCGTCAGCAGAGATAGCAAATTGAGAACTGATGACCTCAGGAAGGTCATTGACGAAAATTAAGATAGATCCAAGGATAGAGCTGTGGGTGACACCTGTATTAATGCAGATAGATCTAGAAATTATTCTTAAGTCCTTATTCCACTGAGTCTAATTTGTATCACTCAGTTCAGTGATTGAACTCTCAGTTACTGTCACCAAATTCACAAATCAATGCTTTAATCCTGAGACAAGGATCTGAAAAAGGCCAGAGAGTACTTTGGCCAAAACAACAAAGATAAGGACATTAGTCTGAGTGTAAATAATAATTCCTCATCGCAGAAATTCATAGAGAAATGATTTTTCTCTTAATGAGGATTTCAGATTACTCAAGGTCTGGACTAGTGCAATGGTCTTGTGGGCCCCCATTAAATCTATAATACTGGGTACACCAAATCTATGACATGGCACCCCTCCCAACTCTGTGATATGCCCCCCCACTCCACTACATTTCAGTTTTCATAAGGTCGTATTCATATAAAAACAAATTTTATTGTAACTTATTTATCTACACTAATGGACCATATACAATGTAGGTGAACAGTTCAACTCCAAAAATTGAAAATAAATACAATGTATCTAAATACAAATCGGGCGTACATCATAAACATTCTATCTTATATAAATCAACAGTGATTTACAGCTATTTTTAACATCAACTTCAGATTTCTTTTGTTACAAGTTGATTAATTTTAACACATTTAACATCACAGATAAAACAGTGAATTTTATGTAGTGTTTTTTCCATAGCATAAGCAAAAACAATTAACAGATTTGGACAAAAGAAAAAAAAAAGCTCAGAATTATGTCAAAATCTGAAAAATTTTTTATCCTTTAATAGTAGGTTGTGCTTAGTTTAATTTGTAATTTATAGAAATGTAGGCAGAAAAAAAAACATATTAAGATAGTGAGGGTTACAAATCCACTGCCTGGGGGCCTTAATCAAGTTTAACAGGTGGTTTGGGAGTAGTATGCACCAACCCTATTCAAATTAAACTTTACTCTTAATACATAAAATATATAAAAAATTTTCTTCTATGAACAAAATATGAAGAAAATAGTTTTATAAAGACGTCTATTTAAATTATAATGCAGCAATTCTCTTTGCCCATGTAATTCTAATTATAGAATTTCTTTTTTGATAGCTGACTAAGATAGAAAATATTTCAAAGTCCTCTTTTCATCTAAATTGTTGTTGGCAATTGCTAAATTGCTTATCCAGAATATGAAGCAAAGTAAAGTTTAAATCTTCTCTTCTTTTGTATTTAAAATGAAAAAAACTCTTTTCACATTTACTGAAATTTCCAGTGACTTTTCTCACTTTGTTCTATTAATATTTTTAAGGATAATAGCTCTTTGTGAATGCTTTCTATTTTCATTTTGTGATTTGCATATTGTTTGAAAAATCAGACAGACAGACATGACCCAAATATTACAATATCCTGAAATGGCCTTTTTAAAGGTGAATAGATGTCATTTTTAATTTTTATTTTTATTTAAAAGATTTACAAGATAAAAGCTGAAAATTAATTTTTTTTTTATTTCTTTAATAAAGTACTTAATATCTATAATTGTCTTTTCTCCTTGCTAACTCTTCTCATTCTCTCTCACTCCCAGTAACCACTTTCATCCTAGTGGCATTAAAATGATTTAAAAAAGAAAACCAGTAAACCCTATATAACCTGATATAACAGATTCCAGATTTAATGGACCTCATTACAAAGGCGGGACTCATTCGAGACTATTATTATTTCTGTGTTTTTAATTACAAATAAAATATTTTAAAATGCCTTTTTCTTTTATAATAACCAATATTTTAGATAAGTTTCTTG